GCTGCTCCAGCTGTGGCTGAAAGGGGCCAACGCAGAGCTCAGGCTGTGGCTTCAGAGGGTGCAAGCCTCAAGCCTTGACAGCTTCCATGTGGTGTTGAGCCAGTGAGTACACAGAAGTCAAGAACTGAAGTTTGGAAACCTCTGCCTAGATTTCAGAAGATGTATGGAAATGCCTGGATGCCCAGGCAGAAGTTTTCTGTAGGAGTGGGGTCCTCATGGAGAACCTCTTCTAGGGCAGTGTGAAAGGGAAATGTTGAGTGGGAGCCCCCACACAGAGTCCCTACTGGGGCATCACTGAGTGGAGCTGTGAGAAGAGGGCCACCATCCTCCAGATCCCAGAATGGTAGATCCACTGACAGCTTGCACCTTGCACCTGGAAAAGTTGCAGACACTCAACGCCAGCCCATGAAAGCAGCCAGGAGAAAGGCTATACCCTGCAAAGCCACAGGGGCAGAGTTGTCCAAGATCATGGGAACTCAACTCTTGCACCAGCATGACCTGGATGTGAGATATGGAGTAAAAGGAGATCATTTTGGAGTTTTAAGATTTGACTGTCATGCTGGATTTCAAACTTGAATGGGACCTGTAGCCCCTTTGTTTTGGCCAATTTCTCCCACTTGGAATGGCTGTATTTATCTAGTGCCTGTACCCCCATTGTATCTAGTAAGTAACTAACTTGCTTCTGATTTTACAGGTTCATAGACGGAAGGACTTGCCTTGTCTCGGATGAGACTTTGGACTGTGGACTTCTGAGTTAATGCTGAAATGAGTTCAGACTTTGGGAGACTGTTAGGAAGGCATGATTGGTTTTGAAATGTGAAGATATGAGATTTGGGAGGGTCCAGGGTGGAATGATATGGCTTGGCTCTCTGTCCCCATGCATATCTCATCTTGTAGCTCCCCTAACTCCCACATTGTGGGAAGAACCCAGTGGGAGATAACTGAATCATGGAGGTGGGTCTTTCCCATGCTGTTCTCATTCTAGTGAATGGGTCTCACGAGATCTGATGGTTTTAAAAACAAGAGTTTCTCTGTACAAGCTCTCTCTTTGCCTACTGCCATCTGGGGAAGTTGAGGCTGCAGTGAGCTGTGATTGTGCCACTGCAGCTGGGGTGACAGAGTGAGATCCTGTTGAAAGCAAGAAAGAAAAAGAAAGAAAGCAAGAAAGAAGCAAGGAAGGGAAGGGAAGGGAAGGGAAGGAGGGAGGGAGGAAGGAAGGAAGAGAGAAAGAAGGAAAGAAGGAAAGAAGGAAAGAAAGAAAGAAAGAAAGAAAGAGAGAGAGAGAGAGAGAGAGGAAGGAAGGAAGGAAGGAAGGAAGGAAGGAAGGAAGGAAGGAAGGAAGGAAGGGAAGGAAGGAAAGAAAGAAAGAAAGAAAGAAAGAAAGAAGGAAGGAAAGGAAAGGAAAGGGAGGGAAGGAAGGAAGGAAGGAAGGAAGGAAGGAAGGAAGAAAGGAAGGAAGGAAGGAAGGAAGGAAGGGAAGGAAGAAAGAAAGAAAGAAAGAAAGAAAGAAAGAAAGAAAGAAGAGAAAGAAAGAAAGAAGAAAAAAGAAAGAAAGAAAGAAAGAAAGAAAGAAAGAAAGAAAGAAAGAAAGAAAGAAAGAAAGAAAGAAAGAAAGAAAGAAACAGACTGACATGTAGCCCTCACTACTCTCACTATGTTTGAGCACCTGGATGCAGCCATGCCTGAAGCAAGACAAACCCTGGGATTTACTGGTACATGAGCCAACTTCCCTTTTTCTGCTTAAGATAGCTTGACTTGAACTTCCAATGTTTATGACTAAAGGAATTTCAACTATCTCTTGGTTATTTTAATAATTTATATATTAGTTTTATAATCATAAAATAAAGTTTTTAAGAGAAGAAGCCTTGCTAAAGTTTAAGTTAGTATACCTATCAATAGTATGAGGAAGCAGAAAAAGCATTGAACAGTGAAATCAGGCAACCTAGATTTTCTGCTGGACCCACACAAATTGCTGTGTGACTTTGAACAAGTTTATTAAACTGTCTAGACTCCAATAAAATAAGGAATCGGAGTTAGTGATATCTAAGGTATTGTGTAGTGCTAAACGTCTTTGCTTCTATAAAAGGAGACCTAATTAGTCTGATAAAAATTGTTCTTAACCAAGACTTTTTACAGAAATGTTAAGAATAAAGACTAATAATGTAAAACGTGTCAAGCACTTATAATAAAACCCTTTAAATTGACAACTTACATGTGAGACATCCTCATATACACGCAAAATATTCATTGCATCACTGGTTAAATTGGAAAATTTAGAAACAAAAATTGAGAACAGCCAGTTAAACAAATTGTGGTACATTCATACAATGGAATATTATGTAATTACAGAAAAGAAATGAAGAAACTCTTTACATTTTGCTGTGGACAATATCTAAGACACATTTTTAATTGAAAAGTGCAAAACCCAAAGTGGTTGTGCTGTGTAAAAAGAGGAGGGAAAGCTAGATAGATTTAATTCCTGGTGCATGCATGAATTATCTCTTGAAGGAATCTAAAAAAAAAACTGCTACTATTGATTACCTTTGGAGAGACTGGGTCTTATTTTTCATGATACAGTATATCCTTTTATCTTTTGAATGTCAAAATATGTAACTGCCAGGCACAGTAGCTCCTGCCTGTAATCTTAGCATTCTGGGAGACCGAGGCAGAAGGATTTTCTGAAGTCAGGAGTTTAAGACTAGCCTGGGTAGCAGAGTGAGACCTTGTCTCTACAGAAAAGACAAAATTAGCCAGACATGGTGGCATGTACTTGTAGTCCCCACATACTGGGGAGGCTAAGGTGGAAGGAGCGCTTGAGCTCAGGAGTTGGAGGCTATAGTGAGCTCTTTGGAGCCACTGCACACCAGACTGGGCAACAGAGTGTGACCCTGTCCTCTAAACAAAAATAAAAACATAAAATAAAATAAAAACTGTACATGTAACTGTATTACCTACTCAAAGTCAAATAAATTTTAAAAGTTTTTAATTTAAAAATTACATAAGACTTTTTTCGTGCTTATGGTCATGCCAGGGTGACTTGTAGTCTAGCTACCTATAAGTCTTCGAGACCAGCATTTCTCACACTTCATCATGCATTCTGGGGATGCACTCCAGGAGATCATGATAAAATGCAAGTTCTGATGCAACAGGTCGGGAGCAAGGACCACGCTTCTGCACGTCTGACAGGCCCCAGGTGATGCTGCCGCTGCTGGTCAAGACCGCACTTTGAATGTAGGTCTAGAACCACACTGATCAATACGGTCACCACTAGCCACATGTGGCTACTGAGTGCTTGAACTGTGGCTAGTCCAAAAAGAGATGTGGGGATGTGTAAAATACACAACGGAATTCAAAAAGAGTACCAAAAAAGATCATAAACGATCTCATAATTTTTATATTGATGACATGCTGAAATGATGTTTTTGCTATGTTGAGTTAAATGGAATATGTGATTGAAATTCATTTCCCCGTTTCTTTTTCCTTTTTTTAATGTAACTAGTAGACGAAGTAAAACGACACATGTGGCTTGCATTATATTTCTATTGCATCGTGCTGGTCTTGGAGACCCTGATGATCTCCTACAACCTGCAACAAGGCAGGGGTTGGGACAACCTCGGTCATCACCCTGGAGTATTTGCAAGGGTCTGTAAATTGGTATAAGGACCCTGGAGACCTGGGAGAGAGCATATTGAAGAATCTGGAGCCCACTCACCCCTAACAAATAAAATAAACAAATAAAACTTCTACTCAAGTGAATTGAAGTGAACAATCAAAGCAGTTGTAACCCTGGAACTGTAGGTAGAGCTTTTGCAGAGCGAAGTCAGCTTAAGGGACCAGTGTTGAAAGGAAGGAGTGAGGTACTATTGCCAGGCAGCCAGCCTTGACAGTCTGCAATGCTTTGGTGACAGTGGGAGGAAGTATGTCAACTCTATTTGTACCACTGAACAGCACTGTCCCTACCACCCTGAGTCATATCCCAGCCTGGCACCCTCAAAAACAAAGATGGCTTTAAAGCTAAGGGCCTAGGGTAATCACTTGACTTGCTGCAACACAGACACAGTTCTGAAGACAGCCACATAGTCAGAAGTGTAATATTAGATTAGCATAGGCCAGGCACGGTGGCTTATGTCTATAATCCCAACAATTTGGGAGGCCAAGGTAGGTGGATCGCTTGAGGCCAAGAGTTCAAGACCGGCCGGGCCAACATGGTGAAACACTGTCTCTACTAAAAACACAAAAATTAGCTGGGAGTGGTGGTGCACACTTGTAATCCCAGCTACTTGGGAGGCTGAGGCAGGAGAATCACTTGAACTCGGGAGGTGGAGGTTGCAGTGAGCAGAGATTGCACAACTGCACTCCAGCCTGGGCAACAAAGCTAGACTCCATCTCAATAATGTATATATATTAGATGAGTATAAACATAACCCCACCAATTCCTTCTGTGTGGCCACAGAGCAATCTGCGTCACTTGGGTAAATTTTAAACTCAAACTCTTCCATCCGCATCCAAGGTAAGTGCCATTTTTAGTGAACTGACCCCTTTTTGTGTAAGATGCTCCAAAGCTCATACAGGGTAAGGGGTAGAGGGTCCACAGTGTACTCTCTTCTCCTCAGAAATATACAAACTGAGCCAAGATTTCTTTACTTGAGGCCACAAGAAAGGTATCACATGACCCGAAAGAGCTGCACATCCTTCAGTTCTGTTGGGAAAGTCATCCTGGAACTGGTCCCATGCTGCTCCTGCTTGCTTTCTTTCCTCCCCTGGGGTGGCAAAGGGAAGGCACGAGACACCCAGAGGGGAGAAAAGCTCAGGTGTACGCGTGGTCATGGGTTTCTACTCAGCAGGCACAGACGTGCACCCTTGAGCACAATGTGGGTATGTTCCCTCTCCCGGAAAACTTAGCTCTATGGACAAAGGAGTAAACCAACCTTGTCCTGGGCCCAGCCCAGTCCTCCCACGTTTCCCATCACAGACCCAACCAAGCTCCAGAGCGCACTGACCAGGTTTTATCTCCAGCAGCCGCAGCTTTGGATCTTCAGGTGGGTGCAATCGTCTCTTCTTGCGCCAGCAGCGGGCAGGGTATGTATACAGTTGGCCCGGGGCAAGGCCTGTGGACAGAGACAATGTAAAGATTAAAGGCTTTAGGTTGGAAGGGGCCTTGGAAACTACCCTAACTAACCCTGTCATTCACAAGGAGAGGGAGCTGAAGCCCAGAGAGAAGTGACTTGTCAACATCACGAAGCTGATTGCTAGCAGTGGCAAGGCTGAATCTAGGTCATCTGACCCCAGGACCCTGGCTCTGTCAGCTCCACCATGCTGCTCAGCAAGCACATGCCAACAAGAGCCATTGCCTTCACCAAAACCAATTCTGCTCTCCTGCCTGGAGAGATCACCAACTGGACCTTCAGACAAGAGGGACCTTTGCAGTGTCTCCAAAGCAGTGGATCTCTATCCACCGCCCCTCCATCCGGATCCAGGTGAAGCAGGTTTCCTTCAAAATGGAGCAGTAGTCAGTTGGCCTACCGTATGGACAGCCTGGATTGAGAAGCATCGCAAAGAGACAGAACCAAAAACACTAGATCTACTCAGAGGCATCTCCCACCTCCGGCTGCTGGCAGCTCACTGCAGGCAAACGGAGCCTTGTGTAGCCCCCATGAGAACACAAGCCCACTCTGGTGACCAGGCCACATGACCTGCAGAGCCCACATACCTCTATATCCCAGCCTATGTGCCTGGCCTTACAAAAAAAAAAAAAAAAACCGGCAGGAGGCCAGGGGCTGGGCTTACAGGCCACACCGTGCATGTGGCCTTTGACACCATGCTGCATGCCAAGCACCATGAGGAGCCTTCCTGCTCACCAGACACAACTCTGTGGCTCCGGTGGCAGCTACAGGCCTTGGAGGAACAGGGGCTTCTCCATGCTAGGCCACAGGCTATTCCCAGGGAAATGGGGTGGGGAGGAGGCTGAGGGGTGAAAAGGCAGGTATTTGAGACTGGCTAGGTAATTTTCAGACTGGCTAGGTGATTTGCAGTCTTGAAAAGAGTGTCTAATAATCCCCATAATAAACCAGCAAGCCAACCAACCCCCAATAAGAAGAAAAGCCTAATGAGGACAAGGACTTTTCTGTCTTGTTCTTGTCAGAAATCCCAGAATCAGAACTGTGCCCGACACAGAGCGGAACCAAACTAAAGACTCATTGAATTAATGAACGAATATGTGGCAGCTTCCCTTTAAAGTCACAACTCTGTCTTCAGCAGGTAAATGTGGCACATGACAGCTGCTGGATGCAGGCGGCCTACCACAAAAGTGTCACTGCACACACCTAGGACCATGGGCTCAGGAAACATCAGCACCTGATTTCCATCTGCTGTCTTCCATTTCGGGGCCCTTAAAAGTTAAGAAGGGAAACTGGCCTCATTCTTCACCTTTGCAGAGAAAATCTATGTAACTTTCATTGCTATATACTCATTCATTCATTTTCATTTTTACCAGTCAACTCTACCCATTTATCGGGATGGGTCTAAGACAGAGTCAATTATCCCAGCATTAAAGGAACGAAAATATTCAGGTCTCTTTATGTTTAATCACACAGCTGCTCCACGGGTTGCAAGATTGTGAGCAAGTTGGAGATTCTGACCTCCCCACCCCTTGGTTCTCAGAATCCAGAACTGACCTGTACTCAGAAATGTCAGAATCGAATGACCATTGGCCCTGCTGTTCCTGGCTCCAGGGGACTCATCCACCCAGATCCAAACCACCCAAGAGGGACTCCAGAAGTGAAGGCTCAGGCCTGAGGTCAGAGCTCCCTGCACCCCCTCTCCTCCCACGGCCGTCTCTGGGCCTTAGGTTTCCTTCGTAGCCCAGAGGCCACTTCATGGTGCGTCCAACCTAATCAAACACAGGTAAGTAAGAGCGAGCTGGCCCCACCAGCAGCCCCCGAGGTCTACATGGCAAGAGTGCAAAAGTGTTCACACTTGACCAGGTCCTACACCCTCCCTGAGACAGCAGTCACTGCGCTTGGCGGTCAGCGGTACCAGAGAAGCCCCAGGCCACTCTGCCTGGAGCTTTAGACCCATTCTTCTGGGAGAATTCATTTTAGCAGCTAGTTTGAATCTCCAGAAGAAGGGGCTTTCTCTGCTGGATTCTTTCTCTGCTGGATCGGAGACACTCTGCAGTGCAAAGGAAGAGCACGTGAGTCCTGGGAAACATCCTAACACCTTTCTGAGCCTATTGCCTCAGCTGTACGACAAGGGCATTAATAACATTAATACCTACCTCCTAGGGGCTGTCATGGGGATTCACTTATATTCAAGAGAAAGCTCTCTATATCCATAAAGATGACAGATGTCAGTTTTTAACTGTCACGAGTTAGCTGACCTAGTCTTGGACTCCACACCCATTGCAACAGGACGGACCCCCGCCCCATCCACCAAGCTGCCACTTGATTCTTTAGCCATGAGTGTGGAAACAGCCTTCTGTTTCATGTCTGCTTTGAATCCACCTCATCACAACAAGCAAATGGTCCCAAGAGCTCTCTTGGGGCTCCTTGGCCCCTTCCTTGCCCTCCTCACCAGGCTGACAGACACCAGGGTTCCTTTATAGGAACAACACGTTCAGTGCTGGAGTTCCACTTACAGAGGGAAGAGCAGGGCCCCATGAGACTTATGTTGTTTATCTCATTAGAACAGGAGGCACATAACTCAAAGCGTGTGTGTGTGTGCATTTGTGTTCGTGTGTGTGCATGTGTGGTAGATGGAGGTGGGGAAGGAGGATGGAGTCACAGCTGCTGTGAGGAAAATTAACCTTGGGGAGTGAGCCCAGGGCTGGGGAGGGGATATGAAGGAGGGGAAACAAGTGGCCGAAGACAAGAGGGGAAACCAGTCTTCCCTGGTAACCAAGGCCACTGCTACCCATCACTTCACATACCCCACTGAGCAAACTCCTTTTCTGTTATTTTGAGCTGCAACTCCAGCTACAACACTCATGCCCATGCGTAAGCACAAACGTGATGCACACAGACACACACACAATCAGAAACTCACACACTTGCTGAGAGAACTGGCTCCATGGAAACATCTGTCAATGAAAGGCTTGATGCCTTTATGGTCAGCAGACGAATATAGCTGGTTACGCACACTGCACAAGTTCAGCAGGTGGATCCTGAGGGTTCTGGGTATCTCTCACAGACAAAGCATGAGTTATGCAAAATTTAGAAGATGAAATGGGAAAAAAAAGAGAGGGAAGAGTGGCCGGGTACAGTGGCTGATGTCTGTAATCTCAGCACTTTTGGGAAACCAAGGCTAGCAGATCACTTATGCCCAGGAGTTCAAGACCAGTCTGACCAACATGGTGAAACCTCACCTCTACCAAAAATACAAAAATTAGCCGGTGTGGTGGTGCATGCCTGTAATCTCAGCTACTCGGGAGGCTGACGCAGGAGAACTGCTTGAACCCAGGAGGTGGAGGTTATAGGTCATGCCACTATAGGTTATAGTCATGCCAGTGGCATGACTCTGTCAAGAAGAAAGAAAGAAAGAGAGAAAGAGAGAAAGAGAGAAGGAAGGAAGGAAGGAAGGAAGGAAGGAAGGAAGGAAGGAAGGGAGAAGGAAGGAAGGAAGGAAGGAAGGAAGGAAGGAAGGAAGGAAGGAAGGAAGGGAGGAAAGAAAGAAAATATAAGAAAAGAAAAGAAAGAGAGGGAGAGGGAAAGAGAGAGAGGGGAAGACAGGGGGAGAGGGAGAGAGGAAGGAAAGAAGGAAGGAAGGAAGGAAGGGAAGGAAGGAAGGAAGGAAGGAAGGAAGGAAGGAAGGAAGGAAGGAAGGAAGGGAGGGAGGGAGGGAGGGAGGGAGGGAGGGAGGGAGAGAGGGAGGGAGGGAAAGAGGGAGGATGATATGGGATAGGAACAGCAATTGAAATGGGGAAGAAAAAAACTGAAGTAGTTTCATCTTTCCCCATCCAGAGCTGAACTGTAGTTCAAGCCCTCCCAGGGAAAGGCTCTCTCCCTGCAGGATCTCAGAGAGGTGGACCCGCAGCTGCCCCTGAAACTTCCCTTCAATGAAGAATTTATTACGTCACAGGACAGAGTGTCCGACTGTTGGCCAACTCTTACTGTGATAAAGAGATTCACCATGACCTTATTTTGAATCAAAATCTATCTTCCTGTAAGTTATACCAATTTGTCCACCCTCTGTTCCAACAGCAAACAGCTACATCCCAATCCTGCATCCCACATATCTGCTTGGGTTTGAAGGGGAGCTCACCAAGAAGACGAGGAACTAAAGAGGAACAAGAGTTGTAGGAAAGAGGTAGTGACTACCCCTGCTCAGAACCAGGTAACAGGATCAAAGTTTCCAAAGAGAAAATGACAATACAACAATTTAAAATACATTTTTAAAAAAATACAGTATAACAACTATTTACATAGCATTTACATTGTATTAGGTATTATAAGTAATCTAAAAATGATTTAAGGAATATGGGAGAATGTGTGTAGGTTATATGCAAATATGCCTATGCCATTTTATATAAGGGACTTGAGCACCCACAGATTTTGGTACCTTCTGGGGTCCTAGAACCAATTCCCAGTGGATAATAAAGGATGGCTGTTATGTATATAACACACTATCATTTATTTAACAAATGGGGATACACACATATTCAGACAAATATATATGTGTGGTGTGTTTGTATGTTTTTTTATGGGAGTATAAGCCAAAAGCTAAAAAAAAAAAAATTACCTAGAGAGAGTAAAAATAAAATAGTAATAGCAAGAAGAAAAAGAGAAAGAAGAGGAAATTGCCTATAGGAAGAAGAAACAGGGTAAAAGTGAAGATACGCTAGACTTTCTCATAATATACCATTAGAACCATGCAAATATTTTACACAATTATAAAGTAAAATTAAATTAAAATAAAAAGCATATCTATTTCTGACTAAGATGGAGTATAAAGACCAGATTTAGCTCCCACCTAAAACCAAAAGAGAGGAAGAAAGAAGTCAACAACAGTTTTGAAGACAATGAACATCAGGCATTGAAGGACAGTGATTCCTGAGACACTGAAAACAAGCAAGATAAGCCCTGTGATTGCCCAAGTTTACAGCCTTAAGAGA